AGTAAAACAATCTGATGGAATTATGGTTTGGGGTTGTTTTACAAGAAGAAAAATGGGTCCGTTAGTATTAGTTGAAGGTAAATTAAATGCAAGTAATTATAATAACCTTCTTGCAGCAAATTTATTACCTTTTATTGACAAATTAAGTGCAGAAGATCGGTGTAATCATGGTGATGGTGTATTTATCTTTCAAGAAGATAATGCACCATGTCATAAAGCAGCTGCTGCAAACATATGGAAAGAAAATAATAACATTGTGGTTCTCCCCTGGCCTGCACAAAGCCCAGACCTCAATCCTATTGAAAATTTTTGGATAAAATTAAACTTGTTAACATTACAAATTACGGACGCAATGATTTATTTTCTTTCCATTTATTTCTTGTAATAACTTTATAATTAACTAGAGTGAACTCTTGTTATGGTGGAAAAGAGAAAAATTACATATAAAACTGAAAGAGGCTGACGTGATGAATTTTGTATCCAATCAGCCATTCCTATGGTGGTATTTTTTTTATTCCATTACTGCATTAACTACTTAGGATGAAAACAATTGGTATTTTTTTTATTTCATTATTTTATTTATATATACAGTAGATACATTGATGAATAAATATATAAAATTTTTTATTAATTTTTCAACATTTTAATTTCATTCCGTATTTGATCTAATACTTCTTTTAACTCGTTTTTGATTTCATCTTTAATTTCCTGTTTTATTTTATTCAATTCATTTTTAAAATTATTTTCAACTTGTTCAAATTTCAAGTGAATATCTATATCCTTTTCTGGCTTTGGCATTTCTACAAGTTCTCGAAGTTCATCAGATATAAACGGTAGATAACCTGGATCTTTTTTACTATTGTCTGTCTCTCTAATTTTTTCCCTAATATCAACAACTGATATATAATATGAACTAATAAATTGATTGAATTAATAATTAAGGTCAAATTAATAAATAATAAATAAAATAAATAAATTATATTTACAAGATATCAGGAAAATTCTTTCTATCATGACGTTGACAGGGAAGTAAATAAAATAATTCAATTTCAGCAATAAACTAATAATTAAAAATTAAATCTTGATTATTTATCTAGGAGTTATAATGTTAATAATACAACATATTAAAAAATAATAATACCTTTGCTTGTTGATATAATAATGCTTCTCTTAGATTAAATTCTTTAATTTCATTAGTAAGTAAACCAATAAATAAATTCATTAGGTATACTACAACTACAAATGAAAATGTTATATATAAACATGCCAGATAAGGGTCATCTTGTAATGACCAAAATCCAAATGCTTGATTATCACCTATAAAAAATTTCAACAATGTGATTAATGTTAATTAATAAATAGTAATCATAAAAAAATTTTAATAATAAGATTACCTGTAAGGAAATTATATGTTGCAAGCACTGAAGATATAAAATATGCAAACATATTGGTATTATCGTCAGGCTGTTGAACAATCAGAGAATTTTGTTCATAAGTGTTGTTATTCATAAAAATTGTATAATATTTAGTAGCAATATTCCATGGATTGTTAGAATCATTATTGAAAATAGGTTTATCCAATGTAAAATCTTGAACTGGTCTCAGTAATATATAAAAAGCACATGAAAACCCTAAAGAAACTGCTGATAAAATAACTAAAAATGGAAAGACATTTGCAGCAACTCCTGAAATTATTGCAAAATAAACTCCAGCTCCTCTAAAATACCGAAAAAATAATATGAATTTTAACAACGTCATCAAATAAGATAATGATATCAGCTGTTTATCTGGTGGACTACCATAATATAACCATAAAATTGAAGTTTTAATTGGTAATAAATATGCACCAAGATCTATTAAACAACATAGTTGAGATCAAAAAAATCATTGATATGGTGTTATGAGTATTTGAGATAAATTATCAATAAAAATCATACCTATGAAGTTTTTCAAATTAATAATATACTTTTTTGGATTCCAAATCATTTGTCTGAACTCAAAAATGAGTTGAAAGAATCCAAGAATTATTGGAACAATTAAAAAATATATTGAAATGGTATGACCATCAGGTGTATCTTGATCTGTTAGAAAAGAAATAGATCCCAACACAAAAGCTAATATAAATAATATATGAATAATAAAAAATGTATAAAAATATTTTTCTCCAAAAATTTTTTCTTTGAAATTCAAGATGATTTCACCACTAAAGTATTTGTATAATTCCAAAGTATTTAATTTGGTAAAGATACTATCTTTTGGTTTATATAATTCCTCCCAAAATGAATTATAATTATTATCATAATTGAGAAACCCAAGATATGGAATTATTAGTTTTACACCAGGAGTCTTTTTTTTAGGAAGTCTGTCTATAAACTTATCCATAGTTTGATAAGAATCCTCACAACTTTCATGATCTTTGTTGATATCTATTTCATAAGTACTTTGATAATTACAAGTATCAAAATTTTTAATTGAATTAAAAGATGGAAATAATATAAATGAAGTTTGGGCAAAAAATTTTGATGTTAAATTATAATGCTTTTTTTCTAATCTTGGTAATTCTAGTACTATTGTTTTTAGTAAACCAATATTAGCCTGATTTTTTTTAAAACATTCAAGACAACAATCAACTACTTTTTCTACAATAATCACATTATTTTGTTTTAGTGCTAAATTTAAAATTATCTTCCCATATTTACTTAAATAATAAAAATCCTCTAACATATATAACATCATTTCTTTAAATGGCTGTCTAAAAATTTGATTATTATCAATATATGAATATTCATTAATGTCAACTGATCCAATATTAAATAAATAATCTTCTAAAATAATTTTACTATCTGTCAATAAATTAATTCTGTCTAATAGGTCTTTTTTATAATCATCCTCAAGAATATCATGTTTGATATACTTCATGTATATTTTGAAAGTTTTATTATTAATGGAGAAAATTTGTATATAATTATTTGTTATTAATAATAAATCATCATTATATAATAATTTATAACTTAAAATTTTTTCATCTTGATTGATACCATATTCATCAATTATGATCCAGTTATCTGTTGATCTACCTTTAGGTTTTTGAACCTTTAAATTAATATTTTGTAAATTATCATCATAACTTATTGACCAATTTATAGATTTTCCTAGCACATTTTCAATATTTGATGGTGTTTCATTATTTGAAATCTTTTTATATAATTCACATAATATTTGACCTATATATGAGCATTCTTTATTTTTAAACCTTATTTGCTGAATATCTAATTTTTCTTCATTAATAATTTCCTTGAAGTGAATTTCACTACCATTAACAACAACTAGTTTGTTAATTGGTAAAATTTGTGCAGCTAGAATATCCTTTTCTTTCATATTTACAATTTGTTTTTTAAAATATTCTGTGATATCTATAAAATTGTCAAGATTATAAGGATCCATCAACTTATAATTATAATCTTGTGTATTTTTATTATAAAGTGCAACCATTAAAAATTCTTTCTCTCCCTCTCCCTCTCCTTCCTCTTTTGTATAAATAAAATTGAATTTTTTAACTGAAATATTTTTCTCCAATTCAACTACAAATTTAAAAAAATAATATATAGATTAATAAAAATAAATAAACGTTTGTATATGTGTTATAAAATAGCAATGAATACTTACATGAAGAAATATTGATATTGTGTTCCAGTGAATAAACTATTAATTTTGTATTATTTGTATAACATGTTGCTATCAATGTATTATGATTATTAAAAATTATATCATTGTCAACATATAATACATTATAATTCTTCTCATATGATAATGTTTTACCATTCCATTGTGATATTAACCCATAATTGTTTGCAATTAAAAATTTATCCAAATGAGTCTTAATCAATGGTGTAATATAACTTTCATTATAACTTTCAAGACAGTATGTTGCCTTATAAGATACATTACAATGACTGTTATATGTAAAAAAATGCATTTTATAAACATTTTCTAAATGCTCGTGAAAATCAATCATTACTAATTCATTATCCTTAATGTTAGTAAAAATTCCTTTGTAATATTTATTTTGATCTTGATAGTTTTCTAATTCAATAAAACCTAAAAAATTTTTTTTTTTTTGATAAATTTGATTTTCAATTTCAAAAGAAATTCCTTTTGAATAGTCAAAAAATTCTAAGGTTATTTTTTAAAAAAAACCAAATTAATACAAAATAATAGTGCATAAACTTATGAATTTTATATTAAAAAGATTACTTACTATAATAATTTTTATTTTTTTTGTGATTACTATATAGAAGGATATGCTTGTTATCAGAAACATCATCAATATAAATTTTATATGAATGATCTGGATCTTTAAGAGAAAAAAGTTTTTCAGTGGATTTAAAACATTTTCCTTGTTCAATTGTTCCATTATCAAAATTCACGGTCCATCCAACTATTGATCTATCTTCACTACTATAAGTTGCAAAAAATTTAAAATTTGAACTATATTTAATTTGATCAATTGAACACCCGTTATGTGGAGTGATTCCATTCAAATTGTTAATAATATTTGTATTTGCATTTATAGTGAAATTATTATCCTCAATATTCGTTTTTTCATTTTTTTCCGAGTATTTTTGATCCGTCACTACCACTTCTATATGAGAATTGTTGTCTTCCATGTATTATTCGTTTTATTTAAAAAATTAATATAAAATTTGTTATTTATTAATTTTTTTATAATTTTTTCCTTATAATAAAAAAGAAAAATCTACGAATTTTGGACGTATCATGTTTATTAAATATGAATTTAAATATAATATTGACCTTTGTTTATATCTTGTTTTGGGTTTATTGATTTATTAATTTAGTAAACTATAAACTATGTTCATCCTTCCTCTTATAATAAAAATTTGTGATCCAGAACTAATTGATTGAATAAAAGATAAAGATTAAACAGTCAGAACGGTAGTCACGTACAGTCGAAGCCTATTATAACGAATTTCGTCATGGCGGGCTTTTTTTACTTCCTTGATTAAAATTATTACTCGTTATTATTATTATTATAGTAATGGTAATGGATAGTGATTTCCAATTAATTATTAGTAATGAAAATTCACATTTTTTAACATTTTAGAGAAAAAAGTTAAAATCAAGAGTATTTAACGAGCTATTATTACTTATACAACTTTTTAAGCTTTTAAATTTAGCAATCTTTTCGTCTAATATTCTACTTGCATGATATGCATCAGGATGTGATTTGTGTGCTTGTTGCAAAGCACCACCACTACTGGTATTATTTTTATTTCTAGAAAACTTCCAAATTTCTCCACTAGTTGGTCTTTTTGACATATATCAAAAAAATAAATGATGATTGTGAGCTCTATAATCAAATGGCGGATGACCTGCAAATATTTCCCACATTAACATCCCAGCACTGTAAACATCAGTTTCTTTTATTTTTTTCCTCTAAAATAGTTCTGGTGGATATAATTCCATAGACTTTATCTGGTGACTTTTCATCAACTGGTCCACATAATCCCAAATCTGTAAGATAACAACCATCTCCTTGCAATAATATATTACCATCATGGATCAAATCTTTCCGATGTATGTCATTTAATGCATAACATAAATAGTAAAAAATTTAATTCTGTTTTTATGTTAAATATTTTTTTGTAAATAAATCATACTCCGCAAAAAATATCCGCAAATTTTGTGATAAGAAAAAATCGAATTAATCAATCTTGTCCAGGGACGATTCATCATGGATATTATGTATAATGCATAATTGTTGAGCTGTATCAATAGCATAATAACAAAATATTGTGTGCGAATTTTTTAGTATCTTTATCGCATGTAAATTTTGACAACAAGAATATATTTTTTGAAAACGTGAATTATAAAAGAAATTTATCAGTTACAATGAAAATTTTTATAGTAAATTTAAGGATAGTTTTTTTTTGACAACCGATCATTTTTAAAAGTTCTATATAGTCAGTCATAATAACATTATATTAATATATACGGTGTATATCATCTAAAATCAACACTAGAATTAAAGCTAAAGAGCTAAGATTCACTTCTATCATTCTACTTCTTTCACTATCTTAAAATTTTGTAAAGTCATTGAGGTCCAAAGTTGAAGCATTTCATATTAATATATTAATATTCTGTAAATTTTAAAATTTTGGACTCCATTTTTATTAGTGATGTTAGCCGGCAAGAACTTGAATAAATTTTTTATCTAATAATTTAGTAGACAAATATCATACTTTATATGAATTCACTAAAAATCGTGGTTTTTTATTATTTTACTAAACGTTGTGCGTGAAATTTAAATTGGCCAATCAGAATTTTGTATCCAAAAATTTATTAATATAGAAATTCATTTTCACGCGCAACATAAAATCATGAATATGGTAAAAAATTCTAGCCAGCTAACATTTGATCAATCGAATTAATTATTCTTATTGAAAAATTCAATTAAAACATAATAAAAAATTAATTATATAAAAATTAAAAAAAATTAACCAACTTATTGATCAAAAAGTTTATAATTTTCTCTCAAAAACAGTATATTATGAAGATTATTTTGGTTCAATATATTTCTTTTTTTTGTGAAGACGTTACCAGCTGAGGAAAACAACCTCTCAGATGGAACTGAGGTTGCTGGTATAGCTAAATAAACCCTAGCTTGAACTGCTAGATTTGGTAGGACTACTTTTTTCTCATTCCACCAAAGGAGTGGATTTTCTTCTAACTGTACCTTTTGCAATGTCAAATAAAATTCAATTTCAGATTTTATATTTTTGGAAATGCTAGTATCATCTAATATTATAATAAAATTTAGTTAATAAACTTATTGATTGTTTAATATTGAAAAAGATATATTGCTTACCCTTGGCAGAAACATCTTCAAAAAATAATGATAAAGCTGATTTTAAGGAACCAGAATTCTCTTCTATATCATTTAAATTACACTGATTATTATTTTCAAGATATTTTAAAATTAAATTATGTATATATTTATGCACTTCTTTTCGTTTCACATGAGTTAAAAAATTTAGATCTTTAAATCTTGGATCTAAAAACGTTGCAGTCAAAGCGGTTATTCCAGGGTCATTCCACCTATAATCTACACTACCTGGATAAAAGTATAGGGACACCTGCAGATCATCACAAATAATTGAATAAAGTGACATGACAAAAACTAAAAATTTTACTATC